AGGAACCTGAAGACGGAGATAGAGTCCCATCTCCGAAACGTTGTTTTACGTTTTATATTTACTAGACGATGGAAGGTCCGGAGATAGGGATTAGCTCTATCTAGTGGGCCCAACTGTGTAGGAACCTGAAGACGGAGATAGAGTCCCATCTCCGAAACGTTGTTTTACGTTTTATATTTACTAGACGATGGATAATATCCAAGAAAATTTTTATTCAATTGACTCTTCTCCATCGTCAAGAAGTTTTAGATCTGATAAAGCATTTAATTCTTATTTTTTTAAGGTTTCTATTTTATGTCCTTATATTCTTCCTCATGTTGAGTATTTATGTTCATGGTGTATAATTTTTCCATGATCATTGTTTTCAAGTTTTTAAATCCATTATTAAATAGTGTAGGTAGATAATTTTTTGGAGTAATCTGTGAAAGGTTCTGTACTACAGTAATGTAATACAGACTTTTTTAATTTGACATCCCTTGATTACATATTTGTTTGTTCTTTCCTGATGTAGCAAACAGGATATAGTTGGCATGCTATTAGAATTATTTTAAATCTATATTTCTCATGTTCAGCATACCTTTTTTTATATTGTATAATTTTTCTGAATGAAATAGTTCAAATAATGATAAAGTAAAGTAAAGTTTGTCCCACTATACGCCATGTAGGCGTTTGGGGTGAGTGGAGGTATAGCTCCTCTCTTCCTTGACCTCGGCACTAGATGGGGGTGAGTGGTCAGCATCACGCCCCGGCCGGCTTTACCCCCGGGAAAGAACCCCGGTACCCATTGTAGTGGAGGCTGGGTGGGCCCCAGAGCCGGTCTGGACGCAGAGGCTAGAGGAAAAATCCTCTGCCCCCGTCGGGGATCGAACCCCAGTCGTCCAGTCCGTAGCTAGTCACTATACTGACTGAGCTATCCCGGCTCATACATTTATTAAAAGTCGCTCTTGGTGGACTAGTGTTTAGTGTGCTCGCTGCTGGACACTAGGTTCGCGGGTTAAAACACGGCTGAGGTTTATGGATTTTTAAGGGTGATAAGAATCTGTAGCACAACTTCCTTTGGAGGGGAATTAAAGCCAGTGTTCCCATGTCTTAGGTTTACGGTATGTAAAAGAACCTTACGAGCATGAATGAGATGTTTCATAAGCAAAATTCAGTGGCCATTTCTCACCCAGAATTCACTCCTGATTCACTGTTAGATGGTTCTGGCAGTCAAATCAGGTATTGAGTAGAAATTGTGCAGTCAGTGGGCTGATCACTCACAAATGCACACATCAAAGAGTAGGAAAACTTTGAAAAGGAGGTGGCAAAGACCCACAACTGGGTTGTAGAGCCAAGGAACTACAACATTTATTAAAAATAGGTAGTCATTGATTAGATCAGTGGCACCACATTAATTAAATTGATTTTCCACATCTGCCATTTTGGATCCCTTTTTGCTCCTAGCATTAAAGGCAAAAAAAGACTTGGTGGCATAATTTTATATGCCATAGTTCATTTTATGAGGCTGTCAAACCATGAGATAATGAATAAATTCTGAATTGGAAAGAGCAGAAGGATGTTACTGTGGCCTTCATTTGAGGTACTATTTCAGCATTTGCCTGGAAGGACTGAGGAAGACCACAAAAGATTTCAGTCAGGATTGCTGGTCTCTGGGCTAAGTTTTGAACCTGGGATATTCTGAATACAAAGCAGGTGGGATGTTCATAATTGTATGGCATAGCATGTTGTGGTTAGGTCCCTTGAGTGTGCACCAAGAGGGTTATAGAAACTGTACATACAAATAGCTAGACAAAATGAAATTCACCAATGAAAAATTCAGGAATCTGCAAATCTTTTCAGCCTTGTATATATACATATATATGGAATGTCATTGCTATATATTTGAGAGATTCCTAACCTCAAAATGGTTCAGTACGTTCTGTACTTCTTCATGAAGTTGGCAGTCCGCAACTTGTTTTTGCAGAATCCTTATAATACTTCGAATTAAATCTGTAACATCCATGCTCTTAAAGTAGGGGGTGGTAGTAAGGATTAAAGTACAATTTCTCGTAGTTACAACCCCATAAACCGACAGTGCCAACAATTACCACTTTGTTCGATAACTAAAGGTGGATCTTGGTCTTTATCATCTGTGAGCATGAGCCCTTGACAGAAAATGTACTCTCATAGATGGCAATGAAGTCGGAGGACCCTTTGACTTGTTTCTTGGTTTGTTATTGAGTTTATGTCTGTTTGGTTACTAATCTAAGGAGCCAGCCTAGGCGGAACGTCCTTGACCCAAGTGTCAGGCTGTTTACTAGCCTCATAGCAGGTAAAGGGATGTAGTTTCTTTAATTTGTTCAAAAGTTACACTTCATTGGAAGTACAGAGTGTAGAGAGTAGGCAAAGTAAGTGGGCGTAACCTAACAGGATGCCGTTATATAAATAAATGGGTTGAAGTTATATCACCGCAGAACTTTTGCGAATAGTAATGATGATTAAAATCATTACTACTTTGCCCATAGAAACTAGGTTGATTTCTATGTGTAGGGATTTTATAACCCCTGCTTCTGTTGTCATGGTTTGCATATATTTTTAAATATTCATAACGTACTTTGAAAGTGTAAAATTACGTTACGGATCATTTAGTGCACTTAATATCTTCCATTCAGATGGATTGAGACTGTTTGATACATGATTAGTTAATTAGTTAAATCAGTACAAAAAGCTCTCCTTTAGTGAGGGATGGGATGGAAAGTTCTTAAAATCGTTGCTGATAACCTTGTAGTAAATCATTTTATACATATGTTGAGTTCAAAATTTATGAAGGGTGTTATAATCACTTTTTTCAAACTTCCTCCGCAGTTCTATACTCAACCTTGTTAGTATATACCAAGGTAGTATAAGCAAAATTAATTTGGCACATTTAAAATGTTGGAATTTTATGTAGATGTTCCATTGTGTTTGTTGCAGGATGGATGACTGTAGAACTTTGTAAGCCTGTTTCTATGTTTGGGATTCAAATATTAATGTTAAAGACATGAAAGTTACAAAACAGGAAGTACAGAGTACCCAAAGCAAAAGCCATAGTCATGTAGCAGGGAAAAAGTTGAAAAATATTTCACATAAAGCTGACCAAATCACAGAAATTTCCCCAAATGGTGAGGCAGTGTCAGCAAGTCCACATCATCAGCAGAAAGGGGCTAAACTATCAAAAATGAAACATGTAGATGTGGTGAATGTTGTTCCATCTGTCAATCAGCAAGATTCTATAAATTTGTCATCTGAGACACCTGTGCTGTTATCTGGTGATGGAATTTTGCGGCAGGTATTTACTTGGTTTGTTCTTATTAATGTAAGAGCAACAAAATCTTTGCTGTGGTTTTTCAGACAAGTAGAAATTACTGTATTTGTGTAGGTATTTACTTCCAATGGTGTTACCCATACCAGTGTAAGATATATGGTTCTCAAAGCAGTGAAGATGTCAACGTGGGTCCTCTAGGTTGTGACACTATGTAAACTTATAGGTAGGTACTAAATGCAGTATGTTCCTCTAAAAAGTTGGTACCTGTCTGCAAGTCCAAATGGCATCACAAACCAGATGACCAACATTGATACCCATACAAAGTCAAATTTTCTGTTATCTTTTATCACAATAGGCAGTATTGTACAAGATGGCAGTTATTCTAATCCATAATTTTCCCATTTGGACAGAAGTTTTCAATTTTGCTTTAAGAAGGAGTACAGGGAATTTTTTTATCAAATGAATATCTGCCAAACTGGCAAGGGAGAAATTTGAAGGTTTGTGACAATGGTGCATGATATTGTGTGAAAATGTTCTTTTGGACTTTGCCCATCAACTAAATGATATAAAATAACAGTGTTTTAAAAATTTGATTATACTTTCAGGTTTAAGATTATCCAAACCAGAGAATCCAATGATCAGGTTTTTCTGTCTTCCTTTTCTTACGTGATGATGGAAGTAGAATCCAACTTTTGAAGCATTGTAATTTCTTATTTAGGCGATGAATGAATCCTAAGGAACAATTTAACACAATAGCAAGGGTGATTTATACAATCAGACTGATGGTTTGTTACTTGCTGTTTTTTTACTTTTCAGGCACTGTTATCTTTCAGCTACTCTGGTCAGGAAGAGAAACCACTCAGAAACATGACTGGCAAGAAGAGTGACAGTGTAACTGAGACTCAGGCAATTGCAGTCAGTGATGTAAAATTATCTTCTTCTCCTGGTCCATTATCTCCTGAAAATGTACAGGTATCTTTCCCTTCAAAAGCATTGACTCATGGAACATGTCAGTCAAAATCATTATCTCCTGGAACTGTTTTAACAGGATCTTTACCTTTGGGAAACTTGCCACTTGTTTCTTTACCTCCAGTATCTTTCACACCTGGAACATTTTCACATGGAACTTTGCCTCTCATGTCTTTAACATCAGGTCCTCTGCCTCCTGTTTCAGAAATTCCACGTCCAGGGAATATTCATTCACTCAGATGCTCAGCTTCATTATCTCCCAGGAATATAGTTTCAGCAGTTTTGCCAGGTCCAGGCATTGTTACTGCAATGCCAACCTCTTTCAGTGGTGGTTCAGGCAATGTACCTGTTCTCTCTGAGGTTCCAGCATATGAAGTTCCTCAACTTGGAACCAATTCTTTGAAAGTTCTAGTGTCACTGTCGTCATCAGATCACAGATCCACTGAATCTCATGTCTTGACCCAGACTTCTGCACATTCTAAAGAGAATTCTGTTACCTTAGTTTATTCATCCATACCAAAAATGGAACCATCCATCTTGGATACTTCTCACCACCTTTCCCAGAAGGTTACTCCGCTTCCGCCAATGTCAGAAATGAAATCTCGTTGTACTAGTCATCTGCGTGCATTGTCCCATGGCAAAGTCAATGACTCTTCTAGTGTTTCTGTTAATGGCCACAGTGATAATGGTGGTGGTACCATTTGTAAAGTAGTACCAGTTAGCACTGATATTATGTCTGTTCCTGATTGCACATCTCGGACTAGTATCTCAGTACTTTCTACTCCTGTCTCAGATGGACCCACCCAGGGTAGCAATACAAATCCAATTAAATTAGATGAAAGTCATGATTCTACAGAAGAATTGAGTCAGGTTGGTTCAGTTCAGAATGCATCTGTTTCACATTCGTTAAATTTTCAGACAAATAGTGATTCATCATCTGATTTAAATCATATCGTCATTCCTGTTTCCAGTAGCATTTCTTCAAGCAAAGTGGATGATCATGTCCTATCATCACAGGATATTAGCCAGATAATTACAATTCCACTAACTTCAAGTGCAATTTATGGTCATTCTGTAGGTATTTCTATACCAATTACTGATAATGCAGTTCCTTTGTCCATGCCTGTGCAAGTTTCTTCTAATATGTTACCCATGTCATGCAGTTTGATACCAGTTTCCAGCACTACAGCCGGTATTAATCCAGCACCTGTCCCTGCTTCTGAAACTACTGGTCAGGTGGTTCCAGCTACTGGTTCTGTTCAATCTTACCTTAGTACAGCTGTTCCATCAGTTAGCCCCAACACTGCAGGAACTCCAGTCCAGCAACATTCTCACTTCTCATCAGACATCTCTGATTTAGTAAGAGTGACTTCAAGTATGGCTTTGCCAATCTCGGTTGCAAATACTATGACATCTGTAACATCTGCATCAACTACTGGAGTATCTGGTATGTATCTGCAATAAAATGGGCTCCCAGATCCTGATTTCAGTGCCCAGTCTTATGTATATTATATGTTTATTGTTATCATCATCATCATTCTTCTTCTTTTTATTATTTGTTGAAGAAGAAAAATAATTTAAATGTGTCAATAACTTTAGGCTACTTATATTTTAGTTTGTAATTGTAGTGGTTTTACAAGTGAGTGAATTCCATAACATGCTTATGAATATACAGTATATTTTAACACTGTTCTTATATTATAATTTTATTACAAGAATGAATTTAGTCATTTAACCTTTACAGAAGGCTGTGATGAGTGTCTGTCTCTTGCCTTAAGAAATTTTGGAGCTTATCTCAGTGCTAACATACCTGAGGTACCTGACTCAAGTCTTTGTGAGTGCTTCAGCCATCCTGATGATAATTTGGTTTTCCTCATGTTGGAACAGTGCCTTGCAGTAATCCATAAACACTTCCTTCACTATCTCTATATGTAATTATCCTTTCATCTCACTTGACACTGAATAACCTCTGTAGTTGATGCAGCATTGCAAAGAAGAATCTATGAACCAAAGAGAAATATCTCCGAATTTGAATGAAAGTTGATTTCAGTTACTTGTGAATTTTTATGCACTATTCATGAATTATTGCTCAAGATAATTGTTATCTAATGAGCAGTATATAATTCCAGGGGTCATGATTCCAGTTACTTCTAGTACAGATTCAATACCCGTGACTTCCATCAGTGTGTCGGTACCTTCCTTGTCAGCGAGCAATACAACTACAACAATGGTATTTGCAACCCAGAATGCATCTGTGGAGTCAGTTTCAACATACGCAATGCAATCTCCAGCAGAGATCTTGTCACAACTGTCGAAGGCTGGTGTACTTCCCACCATGAGCAGCAGTCAGGTCTCATCAGTACTGTCTGCTCTTGCATCAGATGGTTGCCATTTAGACCTTGAATCTGAAAGCCCACATCATGTAGAGCTAATGACTCAGCACCAGGTATGAATGGAAGAGTTCAGATGACATATATTAACAGGGTTTTGTTAGTATTAAGTGATAAGATACAGGCTTACTTTTAGTCCATCGCGTGGAGTCCTAATTATGTTATGTGTATCAATGTAATGATTATTCTTAAGTTTTGTGTAAGTTTAAATTAGTGACAAGTTAGTAATTTAGAACTAGCAAGAACTATGTGACAAATACAATTTAGAAACACTATTTATACTATATTTGTCTCATTTCTCCTTGTGAAAATTAATTTCAAAATTTTTTAAATGAATAGAACATATTTTTTTACAGCTGCTACTGGTTGTTTGTTACAGGTAATGCACCTGTCATCATCTGCAGATAAAGTATCAACTCTAACACAGACAGAAGATCTGGAATTGGGTCATACAGTGGAGTTGGGTTGCAACATTAATATAGACTCCCAACATAACAAAGTGATCGGTGTTTTAAATGAGATCCACCTTGCAGAAGGAGACAGGTTAATGGAGCATCACGTACACCTTTTAAACCACACAAATGGACGTTCTGATATTGTTGTAGCTTCTTTACCTTCCAGTGTTTCACTTGCAGAAAAAGAGACTTCTATTTCAAATCTTCCTTCCACAGGTAGCACTCAGGTATCAGAGGAAAACAGAGTCATGAGACATCAGGTAGACCCTAGGGTAATAGGTTCTGTAGGAATTGATGCAAGTGCTATTAAACATACATCTTCCATCTGTCGTAGGACAGTTTCTAAATTTAATTTGGCTCCTAATGACATTATAACTGCCAGTTTGACTGAAAGAGACATAGGTTCAAAGCTTGATATGCCAAAACGTGGAAGTGAGTTGTTAACAAAGCCTCATCGTAGTGATGTGAATTCTGAACAGCGAATTGTTTCAGTGTTTATAAAACAAGAGGATTCTGAAAATTCTTTAAATCTTAAAGTTAATAATAAAGCTGGGGGTGATGGATCAAGAGATAATATGACAAGAAAACGAAAACTGCAGGATGTCAATGATGAGAAAGCTTGCAATGAACGTACAAATACAAAGTGTAGTAAAGAGACAAAGAAGCAAAACATTGAAGATGTGGAACTGGAGAATTATGTAGAACAAGTTGTTTGCTACAAATGTAAATTTTGCCCTTTTTTGACACTTGAAAAGAAAGGAGTAGCACTGCATGTTCAGCTTGTACATGGTTCACAGTTAACAGGTAATCAACAGAAAAGTAGACACAACATTAAGTGTCCTGGATGTAAAAATGTTTTCTTTACTTCTAAGTCTCTCAGGGTTCATCTTTCACAAGATCATCAAGTGGGAGATGAAGAATTAAGGACATTACTTGAAGTAGTAATCAGATCATCGTATAAGGATGTTAAAGCAAAGAACAAGTTTGATAAGAAAAGAAGAAAATGCATAGTTAAAACTCACCCTCCTGAAATGGCTAATGAACGCAATGATGATAAAGAGATGCCAGATGTTACCAATAGTATCATGGAAGTCAGCTGTTCTCCAACTCCTGAAGTATTAATTGATGAGTGCGGCAAGATTCGAGTGAGGAATCTGAACAGCGAAGCACTGTCTGAGCTTGAGGAAACCCCTGCCTCTCATTCTGACATCACTATTGCTAATGATGTTAGGGATGAAGACAGTCTGAGTAGCAATGGTGTGTCTGACGGTGATGTAAGAGAGGGAACATTGGTCATAGATGACAATCCTCTGATACAGCAGAAGCGTACAAAGATAACACTGGATGATGGCTGTGAATTGAAGGTAATAGCAAGTAATTTACTTACACAATGAAGTTCAGTAAAATAATAATTTACTTCAATTAAAATTGGTAAAAACTACTAACATATTTTTATCAAACTGATTCACTTTTATTTTTCTGTCCTTGGAAATATACTTAACATAATTGTTTTCTAAGCTAGCTTCCTTGATGGCAGCATGGTGTCCATGTAGACACAAAAAAGGGAGCAATTATTGTTATGGGTTTTGTGTAGAATGCAAAATGATAATTACAATTTACGGCATGAAATTTACTTATCAATTTTGTAGTTACAACTGATTATCTATTGTTGCTAAGCATATGAAATTACTAAATTAATTAATCAGTTAATTTATTTATTAACTGTGTTATTCTTATCCAGATGATCAAGACTGATACAGAACACAAAGCTGGATCAGGGACCAACTCTGAAATAGTAGTATTTTTTGATGCGGGAAATAATTCTTTGGGGCAGAAGGAGCAAAGACAAGAACTGAAGTCTAACCAAGGCACATACCTATCAGTAAAGAAGAAACCAGGTCGGCCGAAAGGTTCTAAGAACTTCTCTGATAATGGTTATCGAAAATTATCTTCTACCCAGAAGGAAATCATGGAGAAGGAGTTGGGTTACAGGTTTGTGGTTTTTTGTCCTCATGATGCCATAATGCATGTGCATTAATGAGCCTGAATAAGTGTGTGTGTTATACTAGAAAGGTAGAAGTTTATGTGTGACTCATACAGTATGACATTTATTTCCACTAGCCAGACAAGCAGTGGTGTTGAGGGTAAAAGTACAAAAGGCACCATTGTTGATAAAGAGATTTATGAATACATCAGAAAATATTCACCACATTGTCAGAATTTCAGCATGAGAGCTATAGTTCATCCTAATAGGCTTATTATGTTTATTACTTTATCTTTAAAACTTAAGGCATTGTCCTGTTTCCTTCTTTTTGTTGAATTTCTCAAAACAAAAAATATATGTGACAGCTGTCTGTATATTTTAGAATTTTTTTGCCAAAAATATCAACACAACTGCTCCATTTGTAATGTTGAAAGGTTTAACACAATCTAATTCTCTTTTATGCATAATCTGTTGGACTTTATCTGTCATTGAAGTGTTATTTTAATTAAAACCTTTAAATATCTCTTTTGCTCTAAACAGCATTTGTATTTGGCTGAAATTCTGTGACATTATGTTTAGAAGGATGTCTGTTAGCTTAGGTTCTAGGGTATTTTTGTTTTCAGTTTATTTAATTTATTTCCTGTCATAATGATAAATCTCCTTATATTACATTGCATGAACCAGTTCATAATGAGATGTGTGATATAAAGTACTTTGAATGTGTGTAAGTATTTTTTTTTTTAAATAGATGTGATATAGATGGTTGTACAGTCCGTTTGCGTTCCCACGACAACATTGAGTACCATCGACGTTGCCATCATGATGAGAAGTTTCTGTGTCCTGAGTGCTCGCAGGAAACAGCCCACTGGAAGTCACTCAGCACTCACCTTTGGCGTTACCATGTGATTGACATGGAACTCTTTGCCTGTGATCAGTGCAGTTATAAAACAAACAGGTACTGTGAATATAAGCTTATAATTAATTCTATGAGGCAGAACCCTTCATGAGAAGGTAATAGTGCCCACCTATTATGGATTCTTAAGGTTCATTACCATGTTCCCAAGAATGCACCACCTATCCTTGTCTTGAGCCAGATGAATCCAATCCATATCCTCTAATCTTATTTTCCTTAGATCCATTTTAATATTGTCCTCCCATCTATGCCTAGGTGTTCTGACTTTCCAGCAAAAATGCTGTGTGCATTTTGCTTTTATCAATACATCTCTTCCTCCTTGACTTGATAATGCTAATATTGACTGACAAAGAGTTAACTAATTAATTTTTCTTTCCTTTCAGTAAGAGGGTTGGTGATCAACTGAATTTATCAGAAGCAGTTTTGTTGTACAAACAGAACATCTTTTAGCATTTATTATATTGAGTGAAACCATGTATAAATATGTTTTGTTTTCTGGGGCCTACAGTTTTATTCATTATATAGAGGTCTTTGTTATATTGAAATTTGTAAGAAAGCAATGTTACTGCTTCTGACCCATTATGTTCATGATATGTCTGTACCTGACACAGTGCTGTGTTTATAGCTACAGCAAACTAATGAATCTGCATCATCGAATCCATGGGGATGAACGACCTTTCCTCTGTGATACTTGTGGGAAGGGATTTAAGAACCAAAAACAGCTACGTAATCACAAGGTGAGATGGTGAACATGCCCATGATAAAACACATTTATTGATTTGGTCATACTCCTGGCTTTTATAATGTTGACTGTTACCTGGGATTTCACTAAATTATCAAATTGCGCAATTTCTGAAAAATCTTGCTGAACAGTTTTATATCCATGCTACATAAATTGTTTGTATTTGGTAATTTTTGTGTACTCCAGAAGCTTATTAAAACTCAGAATTTCTAAGATTTAATGAATGCAGAGAGTATTTATTGTCTGTGATGCATAAAATCTGAGAGAAAGAAATAGCTGGAACCAAATGTCACATTATAGTATTAACACTTATGTAGGTATAATCTGAAGGGTTCTGATGATGGTGTAATACAGTTTGGATGGTTGGGTTTTTGGACTTTGTCCAAAACCAGATGATGGACAAAGTCCAAAAACCCAACAATCCACAGGTGACTCTCATATATACTTTCACTATCTGTGTTTTTGCATGGTAGGGGCTGAGTTGCACATGCAGTTTTACTGACTCGCCCCCAATTTTCACTCCAGGGACTACAAATTAAGATCTCTCATGGTGTACCACTCAGAAAATCCATGTTTCTCACTGCATGAGTTGTATACATGATGATTTGCAAGAACACAGCCCCTGCTTATAACAACAGTCACCTATACTTTTTATTCTGTAGGTTTTTAAGTTAGAATCTTGTCTGTGCTGATTGAGGTTTCTTTGTGGTTTTCCTCAGTTTTTCAGTCACATGCCAGGGATGCTTCCTTAAAGTATTTTCTAATTCATCATCATAATCATCCATGTATTTGATGTTGCATAACTTATGCAGTTGTAGACTATAGTACACTATAGGCATGTAGTTATTTAAAAGGAATTGATGACTTATGTATTACTGCAGGCTATTCATGTGGCAAAACAGAAGCAGAAAACTGGTCCTGGTGGAGAATGTGATGTCTGTGGCCGTTCTTTCACTAATCCACGTATGTTGCGAGTTCACAAAGATAATGTTCATGGTAAATTGCGGCCACACCTTTGTAACTTCTGCGGCTATTCTGCCTCCTCTCGTAGCACACTGAAGATGCACATGCGGCTTCATACTGGTAAATGAAAAAATACCAGATGTTGATTATAATATAAGAATAGGAAGGGAATCAAAGTCATGAATTATTTTGTTCAGTATGAATTCTCTTAGTTATCTCTTTTACTGTTCACTAGACTGTCTCTAGCTATGCCTACTTATAGCATGTACAGGATTTCATTCAGGAGGGTGTTTTGAAAAGAAAGTCAGTTAAAAGAGCATTATATGACATATTTATAAATTAGTTATACTGGTTACTGTATATTTTATCATAAAATGCTTTTTTGATATCTTCCCATACATGTCAAGTTCAGGATAAGAGTGTCGAATCTGTAAATACTAAATATGAAACTACTACAGGAAATATCTATTACTACATTGACTTAGATGTAAAGGAAACAATAAGTGACAGTAACTTATTATAATCCTACAACATGCCAAACTACATTCCCTGTGGTATCTATGTTGATGCCTTTGACCAGTGAGTGGTTGTTTCAGTTCATTATTTTTACTGCACAGGTGAGAAACCTTTCCACTGTGATGAGTGCGAGTATGCAACAGCAGATCATAATTCTCTTCGACGGCACAAGATGCGGCACTCTGGAGATAAACCTTACAAGTGTCCACATTGCTCTTATGCCTGCATTCAGTCCAGCACATATAAAGCTCACCTGAATACCAAGCACCCTGGTGAGTTTGTTAGTTAGTTATTCTGTCAGTCTATGTACAACATAGTATAACTGGAACCAGGGAACATACTTAGTGAAGTTTTGGAATTCTTATTAAAATGTAGACATAAAATTATTCTTTTAAACCTTAATGTCTACTCACTTCACTGCCACTTAACTTGAAACCTTAAATTAGGTTTCTTTGCTTATTGATTTCTATGTAAAGAGCTCTAATTGTTATCAAATAGTATTTCATCTACACTGTCTTTTGCAGGTATGGAGACTGGGTTGATGTTTAACTGTGATTCATGTTCTTTCCGATCCGTACGTAAAGACAACTACTTGGCTCATGTTGCAGAACATAAAAATGAGTCATATCCAACTAACAGACACAGAAAGCACAGTCTAAAACCTCAGGTATTTTATCCTGGTCTTCCTGTGATTGTAATTACAATGTTTTTGTCTGTGATGCTGAATGGAAGCTGCAAAACTCATAAGTCCTACTTCCTTGTAGTATAGATTTACAATATTATTAATTTTATGTTTAAGTAATTAAGTTTGCAGTTCAGCTATAGAATGTATTTTAGCTTATGGGTTGTGTTCTGTACTCGTGTGTAGATGGTCATAGAATCATATTGTACATATCAGGTTTTTAATTGCTTGTTGATCACATAATCCTGTTTTCTTTCCTAAAGAAAGGAAAGTAAGTTAAAAAGTGTCTGATTTGTCAATCAATTCTTTGTGCACAGTTTTAATTACTGGAAATACTCTCAAGGTAGCATGTAGGTATTGATATACTGAAATAAGCCCTGGTTGCTATAAAATGTTGCATTGCAGTACTCTAAATTGTTGCATAGTTTCCAGATTAAGGGTAAATAAAGAAACTGATACATGAAATCATCATTTCTTTCATATTGTAAACTTTGGAAATACTGCTTTTGTTAAACTGGCTTTAGTATGCACCACTGCAACTGATATTTAGTTTTGAAATTGAAATTAACTGAAATTTTATCTCAGAGAAAATTTAATTTCAGTTTACTTAATATAACCAGTTCAGTGAGGAGTAACAGTTGCTTTGTTAATTTTACAATTTCATGAACTTTATACAGTTTTTATTGAAAACTGTCTTATCACTTGTTGCTAAAACCTGTTTATAGGGGCTTCAGTTGATTGACTATTATTGTCCAGTGATTGAAATTAATTCCATTTAACAGACCCAGCTGCAAAGGTACTCCCCACCTTTTCTCCTGAAGATAAAAATGGATCCAATTTCCAAAACACCATATTCTCTTCTGAATACTAGTCTACAGACAAGCCAAGAAACCCAGTAATAGTTATTACAATATATTAATATCAGAACCCTTTAGAATTGGTTGATGTTAGTGTTGCTTATGACTTTTGTACATTTATGTTTTGTATGCATTGAATAGTTGTGAAGTGCACTGGATCACGTGTTTTTTTTACATGCTTATTATCAACTGAATGTGAATATTATTGTCTTGACAGTGTGTACTGTTTTAATCAGTTAACTTATTGAATTAAAATTATGTATTAATCTCTTGTCAGCTGTAGGAAGTTGTTCTATAAAGGTTATTATTAATTAAACTTGAAACAGAAAAACTGATTGAAGGATAATTGTATTCTTTAGAGTGATTCAAATAAGAAAACTCAGGAAAGAGAAAATCCATCCAGGTTGGAGAAGTCTCATCTTCCAACAATTATCAACATTTCCCACATAATCACTCCTGTGGAGTCTGGAGAAGGCACATTACATGAGGTAAATCTGTTCTGAGTCATGAAAATATTCTTCAACAAAGTAATAATAAAGTGTTGACGGGAATTCAAGCCACTGGAATGGTTGTTTACAATTACTTTTTGGTTTATGACATAGAGGGACTTTTGGAAATGTAAGAAAATTGTAGGATGCAATATACATTGAAACTACATTATTAGATACTAAAAGTAAATGCAGAGAAAATGAACATATATATGCTTATTACCAGAATGGAGAACAAATTATAATATAATAAGTGCTAATAATAAGAATTTCTGTTAAATCCGTAAAGAAATGTAGTTGAGCTTAATTTATATTTCTGTGTTAAAAATTCAGAAAATGTGTATGATGAACATACTTTTTAAATTCATTTTTTAAATGTTGCATACTTTATTTGACTTGATATTCAATTATTGTAAATGGAAACATATTGTTACAAGGTAATCACACTAGACAGTCACGTTCAGAATGTGTTTTGTAGGTCTAACATAAACAAAAAGCAAAATTCATCACTCTACTTTGCTATTATCAAATTTCATCAAAATCCATCAATTACTTTGAGAAATTAAATTATCTGCTATCATGCATAGTTTGAGGTCTGGAATAAGTGTCATTACCACCTCACAGTTTATACATTTGCCATGTTAATGCTGATTATAGGAAACTAAAATATACTAGGTTTGGATGGCCTCCAATAGGATAATACTCATGTCATTTTTTGTGAAATTTGAGTAGATGGTTCAAGAAATTGAAAGCAGGACACACACACACAGACTCATAAGCCTAATTCTTTCATAAAATAAGTAAAGTAGGCTATGAAATACAATAAGTAAGACATAAATTAAAAATTATGTATACATTTTTAATTTTGTATTATCAATTGCTTTTAGTAATTTATACTGTTCTTGTGTTAATAGTAAATATACTTAAAATCGGATCTTATTTTATAGAATGTTGAATCTGCTGATGATGTGCAGCTCATCTACAATGGTAGTGCTGTGGAAGGACTTCTTCAGCAAACTTCAGAGGTTAGTAATGGAGAATGTTTATAAGTTAATTTTTCTTGTTTTTATGTATATGTTTGAATGTTTTTTAATTTCCTCAGTTATGAAACTGTTGAAATGGAAAGGTAAAATGAAAGAATATTATCTCAAGAGATAATTGGGTTGACTTGTATTTGAAAGGTAACCAATTTATCCCTCAGACAGGTCACAACTACCCTCATAGGTTTATGTGCCTCTCTAATTATAATTTAATGTTATCCAGTTTAGACCACAGACTTTTTTGTGTTTGTCAATATCTTCCAAGTGGATGATGGAACAGTGGCTTGAAATTGTTCATTGTGGCTGCCCTCTCAGTCCATTTTCATTCACCATGAACAGTTATCATCTTGTCTCATTTAACATTAAATGGACACTGAAAATGATACAGAATTGTGAAATAAACTATGAATGAAATGATACATCACAGATATACTGCTGACAACAAACATTTTAAGAACTTCCTTGTGTAAAGTGTTAAAGTATTATCACTGAAGTATGTACGAGGTGCGATCGAAAGGTTTCCAGACTGCGCGTATAAAATCCGTACACTTATCTCAGGTATTAAATTCCTCCATCACCCTCGAAGTAGTTCCCCTGGGAGTGAACACAACGATCCCAGCACCGCTGCCAAGCCTGGAAGCATCCCTGGAAATCTTTCTTTGTCAGCCTGTCAAGCACCATCTGCGATTCTGCCTGAATCTCTTCTATCGTCTCAAATCTCCTTCCCTTTAGCTGAATTGTCATCTTTGGGAAAAGGAAGAAGTCACACGGAGCTTAGAAAGGAAGTGGGGGTCGGTTCTTGCAAGATCTTTGACCTCCTGACAAACGAGAAGTCGATTCTGCTTCTGGGCCTCAGACAGGATGCGTCGCATGTGGAGTTCTTCCTTTAGAATCAGCTGACAGGTCCCATAGCCTATCCCAACAATGTCGCACAAATCGTTGATGGTACGACGTCGATCTTCGTAACAGTTTCGGGCGTTGTGCTCGAAGATGGTCGGCCAGAACGCTCGTCATCATCGACAGAGGTTCGGCCATTTTTAAAACGTGAATGCCACACAAAAGTTTGTGCACGACCCATTGAGGACTCCCCAAATGCTTGCTTTAGCATTTCATAGGTTTCCGTAGCCGTTTTGGCGAGTCTTTGGCAAAATTTGATGCACACGCCATTCCGAAAGCGCAGGAGGGTCGGTGTAATGCACTACCAAAACGCCCGTAACTAAGAAACAAATGCTAATTCGATGATGCCGGCTGGCACGCTGATTCACTATGAATGTAGGCCACACCCCCTAGCGGCAGAAGCTCGTACTACATCCGGTTCACCCTCTATTGACACAGTCTTGAAACTTTCCGATCGCACCTTGTATCTGATTTTAAAAGTTATAGACTGAAATGTTGGATGTTGACACATTTTGTAAAGTTTGCAGTGACCATAATGATTTTCTGTTGGGACATAGAATATGCATTGTTTAGTTCCCTCGTTCTCACTCTTTGTCATTTCCAATTTATATTAGCTTCATTTTTGTGAATTCTCAGATACTTAATCCTTCAGAACTTGACTTTCTGCAATAAGGCCTGCAGATTGAACATAAACTGGAATTAATTTTGCCTGTTTAAGAATTAATACTTATGTTTAAAATGGTTTATGAAGTATTGTATGTGAACATGACTGTGTAGAATTTTTACTAAAATTCTTCTTTTTACCTTTTACATAATGCAACAGGTACACCATACATGTAATGTTATAACATCTATAAAAGTTTCTTAAAATAACATACACAACATTCTTA